AAGAAAAAAGAAGATAGTAGGCAGGGAAAAATGATGTAATGTATGGTGATTAACATAATAAAAAAAAGGGAAAAAAGTTGTAAAAAATCATAACATTGATTTTGCCATTTTAACATTTTCAGTATAAAGTCCAGTAGTGTTAAGTATATTTATACTGCTGTGATACATATCTTGAGAACATTTCATTTGCAAATCTGAAATTCTGTACCCATTATTTGTTTTTCATGTAGAAAGCATATTTATTTATTTACTTATTTAATTATGCTCAATTAGCCAACATATAGTACATCTTTATTTTTTGATGTATTGTTAAATGACTCATTATTTGCATATAACACCCAGTGCTCGTCACAATATGTGACCTTCTTAATACCTATCACCCAGATACCCCATTCCCCCACCCCCTCCCTTCTGTAACCCTCAGTTAGGTTCCCGGAGTCCAGAGTCTCTCATGGTTTGTCTCCCTCTCTGATTTCTTCCCATTCAGTTTTCCTTCTCTTCCGCTACGGTCCTCCATGCTATTCCTTATGTTCCACATATGAGTGAAACCATATGGTAACTGTCTTTCTCTGCTTGACTTATTTCACTTAACCTAATCCCCTCCAGTTCCATCCACGTCAATGCAAATTGTAGGTATTTATCCTTTCTGATGGCTGAGTAATCCCTTGTATATATGGACCACATCTTTATCCATTCATCTGTTGAAGGGCATCTGAGCTCCTTCCCCAGTTTGGCTATTGCAGACATTGTTGCTATGAACATTGGGGTTCAGGTGCCCCTTCTTTTCACTACATCTGTGTCTTTGGGGTAAATACCCGGTAGTGCAATTGTCAGGTAGTAGGGTAGTTCTATTTTTAACATCTTGAGGAACCTCCATACTGTTTTCCAGAGTGGCTGTACCAGCTTGCATTCCCACCAACAGTGTAAAGAGGGTTCCCCTTTCTCCACATCCTCAGAACATCTGTCATTTCCTGACTTGTTCATTTTAGCCATTCTGACCGGTGTGAGGTGGTATCTCATTGTGGTTTTGATTTGAATTTCCCTGATGGCTAGTGATGTTAAACGTTAGTCATTTTTATGTCTTTTTTGGAGAAATGTCTGTTAATGTCTTCTGCCCATTTCTTGATTGGGTTATTATTATTAGTATTATTATTTTTTGGGTGTTGAGTTTGAGAAGTTCTTTCTAGATCTTGGGTACCAGCCCTTCATCTGTAATGTCATTTGCAAATATCTTCTCCCATTCCATGGGTTGCCTCTTAGTTTTGTTGACTGTTTCGTTTGCTGTGCAGAAGCTTTTTATCTTGATGAAGTCCCAAAAGTTCATTTTTGCCTTTGTTTCCCTTGCCTTTACAGACATGTCTTGAAAGAAGTTGCTGTGGCCGATGTCAAAGAGGTGACTGCCTCTGTTCTCCTCTAGGATTTTGATGGACTCCTGTCTCACATTGAGGTCTTTTATCCATTTTGAGTTTATCTTTGTCCATGATGTTAGAGAATGGTCGAGTTTCAATCTTCTGCATGTGGCTGTCCAATTTTCCCAGCACCATTTATTGGAGAGACTGTCTTTTTTCCATTGGACATTCATTCCTGATCTGTCAAAGATTGGTGGACCATAGAGTTGAGGGTCCATTTCTGGGGTCTTTATTCTGTTCCATTGATCTATGTGTTTTTGTGCCAATACCATCCCGTCACAGATTTGCAATATAGATTGACGTCAGGCATTGTGATGCCCCCAGGTTTGGTTTTCTTTTGCAACATTTCCCTGGTTATGTATCCTTGGCTGCATGTTCTCATTTAGTACTGTGAATATGTCTTTCCAGCTCTTTTTCGCCTGCAAAGTCCCTATGGACAGGTCTGACGTTATTCTGATGTTCCTCCCTCCGTACATAAGAAATCTGTTCCCCCTGGCTGCTTTCTGGATTGCTTCCTTGGTTCTAAGATTTGCAAGTTTTCCATTTTTAATTCTAATAGTGTATTTATAGAATACTTTGGATTTTCTATGTACACCATCATATTATCTGTAAATAGTCACAATGATCTCCTCGCTTCTTATTCTTTTTGTTTCTCTTGGCTTATAACACTTGGGAGATTCTCCAATGGAATGTTGACCAGAGTAGCATTGCTTGAAGATTTTAATATACCTTTCTCAATATCTGATAGAAAAAGCAGACAAAACATTGGTAAGACATGTGACCTAATTGACATATATGGAACATTACAGAGTAAGTGCAGAATACATTATTTTCAAGTGGTGCTAGAATATTTACCCAAATAGACGATATGTTGGGCCATGAATCAAGTCTACACATTTTAAAAGCCTGAAATTAACTAGGTTATATTCTTAGACTACAGGGAATCGAGCCATAGTCATAACGAAAAGAAAAGCAGGAAGTCCCTCAATGCTTAAAACTTAAATGTAAATTTGCTACATATCCTAAGGGTCAGAGAGGGAATCACAATGGAAAGTCTCGATCTTTCCTACATCAGAGCTCACAGACAATGGCATTCTATCCGTGAAGAGCACTATAAGTAAGGTAGACAGGAGTTGAGCCTTAAGTCCGAATTCTGCCTGCCTCAGCCACACCTGGCAGCCTTGGCATGTGGTCGCCCCCAGCTGCCCTTTCTGGTAGCCCTGAGCTAAGGGGGACAACACAGCCATATGGAAATGGGAAGCTCCCCATTCCTAGTGACGATGGTGCTATTGTATTGTCCTCACCAGTCCAACAAGATGATTTCTGAGTGAAACATGACACAATAGCAGCTTCTTGACCTTCCTTAAGGTTTGAAAATCATCTTGTGAGTCATCTATCAGAAATATGGTTTCAACATGTGTCCTTTTTTCTGGAAAAGAAATAGATCCAAATAGTAATTATGGTTTCTGAGCACCTGCCCTTGAGCTCCATCACACTGCTCTTTGTGGAATTCTCCCTCTTAGACTTCTAAACTATGATGTAGGTATTTTTAGTCACATTTTCTAGATGGTTAGACGGGGGCTCAGAGACGATACGAGTCACGGAGGATTTTAGTGTCAGAGACCTAAGTGGGATCTCCAAACTGACTCCAAATCCCTTGTTATTCCATACACGGAACTCTTTCCCTGTTATCTCTGGTCTTCTCCATCTGGAAACATATCAAGTACCAGGATTTTCTTGTTGTGTGGCCAACTGGAATGAATTCAGCCGGCCTTTTAAACTATGCCCATCATGATCAGTGGAGGACCTTTGAGTAAGATACTCCAAGATCTCTAGGAATAGAGACATTATAATCTGCTTGAGATCTTCAAGTTACTGAAAGAACTATCTTTTTTTTAATTGATTCAGGCTCTAGTATGTTCAGAGTGTGCTGTAAGACAGGTCTGAAATAGTATTTAAAAACACTCAGCTCAGCCTCTTCTACAAAGTGAGACAGTGCTTATAAACATTGCTAAAATAGTCCCTTAGCTATGATTACTTACTTCCCAACCATCATAGTGTTTATATGGTATGACTATGACTTAACATTAGTCAAAATCTGCAAGGAAAGAACTGAGAGAGTGTATGCAAGCTTTAGGGGCACTTCATGTTTCCATTAGTGTTGTGAAAATGAGCTACTCTGTTTTATTCTATAGTCCAAGGGAATGGTGCCAGACATCTCTGAGATGTCTAGGAGTTCTAAAATTCTGACTTTAAATTATCTGTGTGCTTCAGAGATTTGGGCAGGAGAAGGGGAGGAGCCCAGCATCTGTGAACACCTCTGTTACCTGTGTTGACCGTGGGACAGGTGAACTTCTCTAGGCATCATTTTGATTTTTTGGCACTATTGTTAAAGGTACTTTTGTCTCAAGTTCCTCCCTTTAGTAGCAATTCTAATGATAATGGAAATTTTTATCTTTTACCATCCGTGGGCCTGGATCCTGGGCTCCCAGAGAAGCTATCCTTTAACATTTTACCAAGGTCAAAATGACTGGGCCAAGCCTCAGAGTATGGGTCCTATTTCTGTCCCAAGCACATATTGTACATCTGGTTTGAGAAGAAAAAGATAACCCCAAAATGCCATTGCAAACATAAAGATAAGAAAAACAAAAGAACCTCTCTGGCTTCCATAAGATTAGAGTCATACCAACTTGTACAAACTGAAAACATAAGAGAAAGTCTGTCACTTTCTTGAATGTTCTTCCTCATGATGATATGTAACTCTGTATGTAAATCAACACAGAACAAATATATAAACCTGCCTCAAATGTTCCTTCCCCGGAGCACTCCCTTTTTTGTGAAGATTGTGTCTCCCAGGCAGCTGTCCTGACTTGGGTTTGAATAAAACTCTCTTCCTTTTTCTCTAAAGTGTTTAAAAGGGTTTGTTCATTCAGTGTCGAGAATAACAATATGTTTTCTTTTCAAGTGAAAAATAAATGTTCCTCGTTCACAACTCCAACAGCAGAGAAGGGCGGCTATTCTTCATCCTGGAGCTTCCCTGCAGAACCAAGCATATGTATATATATTCCAGCATAAACGGGCTCATCCTACAAGGATGCTTTGAAGGTCCAAGAAGCACTATCCAGTCCATGGGTGAGACCAGAAGGCGAAGCTCTTCACGTTTAGAGCATTAGTTTTTGGGTTTAAAACTGCCTTGGAAATGCGTGAAACCATTGCATTTCCTAAAGCCCAAAGCCTCAGAAGGTCCGAGCGCAGCTGATCTTGCCGGGAGCCGGGAACAGCTCTGCAGGCAGGGGTTGGTGCAGGAAGGGAAGGGGCAGGGCTCTGGGGGTGGTCTGCAGCCAGAGGCGGCCGCGGAATGGGCCGGGTGTGTGTGGGGGGGCGGACCCCTCCCATAGCCCCCGCCCACGCCTGCGCCGCCAAGCCAGGTGTTGGCGTGAGGACGGGCCTCCTGGACCACCTGCCGTCGTAGGGAGCGGCGGGCCTGAGGGCGGGTTGGCCGGTAGAGGCAGGCGCGGCATCCAATGGGCTCGGGGCACCACCCTCCCCGACCAATCACCGCGTGGGGGTGGAGTTACCTCTCTGAGGGAAGATCCGGAGCGGCCCCGGATGCAGAGGTGGGGCAGAAGGCCAGCTCCCGGAGAGTTCACCTGTAGAGTTCCCGGCTGGGTGAGACCACGCTGTGGGCCGGGGTGGGGTCCCGGGGGTAGGGTGCACCTCGGGTGGGAGTTGGGTCCTCGAAGGAGGCGGGGAGCGAGCTAATCCCGCGAACTCAGATGAGTTTCCTAATCGTTGAAAGTCCTTCAACGGGCCGTATCCCCCAGCCCCGTGAACTCCAGGGCTCCGCTCACCCGAGCTTTTTTGGGATGGGTTGCGGACATTTCAGGGTTTCCCGTGTTCCCCTGGAAGAGTGCACGTAAGGACCGCACACAGTCCCCAAGTTCAGTGGGGTGCCCCCTGTCCCCTGGCAGAGTGCAGGTAATGGACCTTGAGTAGCACCCCGAGTTCAGCAGGGTGTCCCCTGTTCCCCCAGGCACAGGTGTGGCGGTAACAAGCCCCAGAGCCGTCCTCCAACTTAGCATTGTGCCCCATGTTCCCCGGGTATGGTGGTAATGGGCTGTCAGGATTGTGCAGGAGGGTCCTCCAGGTGGGGGCCTGGAGGCTGGAGTAAACTAGACCCTACTCAAGTTGCATGAGGAACAGATGAGTTGAGGTGTTGATTTGGAAGAGTCATTTCGCGTTTCCAAAAATGTCAAAGTCATTGGTCTACTTTAGAATGAAGATAATTAGTACTTAAAAAACAAGTATGTGTTTCCCCTTCTCCCAGAAACCGAAGCAGGTGTGCTTGCCATAGGTCGGAGGTCCTACTTATCCCCACCTGACAGCACTTCTCCCCTCTGGCTCCATGAGACCCGAAGTTTTGAACATCAGCATGTGAGTCAGTGATGCTGCTTGTCACAGGACGTCAGCATTCAGAGAGAGCAGCAGGTCCATTTGGCACAATGTCATCTTCAAGTCAGGACTGGAGGTAAAACTTCTGATTAACCCCAAACCTCCTGGGCTTTCCTCTTTTTTCTAGTTGAGCTACGAAGTAAAACTTAAGTAGCTCTCAGCATTCTCCATTTGGTTCAAGAGTTACTTTCCCTGCGGGTAGAACATTGCAGGGGATCCGATTTTCTCTGTTCATTTATTGCTTACAAAATATATTCTGATCATCTGTTTCCTAGAAGTAACTTTTATTAGAAAGGGAAGGTGAAATTTACTCTTTGTGTGTTTTTAAGATATCTTTTGTTCCTCAATCTAATAGCGTTTATTCAATTGGGCCTAGGATATGGTTGAGCGGCCAGCATCTAGAGTTAGGTGGCTTTTTGTCGTCAGATACAGATTCGGATGATGTCTTGTCATTTGTCAAAGGTGATGTTTCATAATTGATTAGTGTTTTCATCAGAAGAATTACAGTTAGGGTCAAGGGAAAAATCAAAATTATTCAAAGCAGGCTTTTACTGTTTAAAAGTTGAGCCTGAGTTTCTAGTTTTTCTAAATGTATCATCTAGATATTTTGACATGCTGTATTTTCTCTGTAGTTTCTTTGGTGATGGAGTCAGAAGGAGAGTGTTTGGGAATTCTGGATGGAGGCATGCTGGTGTCAGGAGCACTGGGTTGAGTTCTGGAACTGCTTGCCTGAGCCTAGGTGCGTCAGGTTATCCCACAGAGCTTCCGTTGACTCCTTATGAAATTTGTGGAAGGTAATATCTATGGAACGTCTTTTTTTTTAAACATTTTATTTATTTGACAGAGAGAGAGATAGCGAGTGAGAACACAAGCGGGGGTGGGGTGGGAGAGGGAGAAGCAGGCTCCCCACTGAACAGGGAGCCTGATGCGGGGCTCGATCCCAGGACCCCAACATCACCACCTGAGCCGAAGGCAGACGCCTAACGACTGAGCCACCCAGGCGCCCCTCTATGGAAAGTCTTTTTCCACAGAAACTGTTCTGCCTAATGAAGAGCCATTAAAATTGAGGTGATTTGGGCTGAATTATTCTGTAAATAATAGTTTTAATCCCCCCGTCATAGGATATGGTATTTTATTATACAAGGAGTCCTCAGAAGGTTGCAGTGAAAGAATCCGATCTCAGAGCATGTTCATATTCCATTGATATGTTACTTACAGTTTGCACAGGTAGGAAGGTAAATGGAGAGAAATACGACAGAAGGGGAAAGTAGGTGTGAACCATTCATTAAGTAGCCTTCTACCTTTGGGCCAGTGTCATTTTGGAAGAAGAGGGGGAATCCTGGAGCTCTGCAGCAGATGGGGGAGTTCCAGGTCTGGGTAAAGCTGACAGGGGCCTCAGAGGAGAGCTGAGTGCATTATGCAGGAGGGTGTGGGCAGGGCGGGCTCCAGGGCTGGCTGTGGGTCTCCTGTGTGAGAGTTGTGACAGGTGAGGGCCGTGAGCAGGTTCCTGGCTGAGGACAGGTGAGGCCCAGGTGGAGAGCTGGCCGAGCACCTTCTTCTTTGCTACCAGGCTCACCCAACACACACAACCTCATCATCTGTCCCTGTTAGTCCAGTTCAGACGTCTCAGAGTTGCCAGGCCGAGACGTTTGTTTGAGCTTCTTTCTTTGTGTGTGAAGTTTCAAAACTTTGATTATGGAAATGACGGGTCGTCAGAACATCTGTTACTCTTTCATTTCCTGCTCTTTTTTCTTTTTTTAAAATTTTTAAAAAATTTTTTATTTAGCAACTTTTTAAAAAAAATTTTTTTTTATCCTGCTTTTTTTTCAATCACCAAAGAGAATCATTCCTGCTAGTGGAAGGGGCTATCTGTGTGTTTTTATTTCCCATTTTAATTAAACAATGGGAAAACAATCTTCAAAGATATTAAAAGAATCCTTTGTGAGTGTTCATCTTTTCCTGTTCCATGTACCACATTCCGATATTAGAAATTATGTTTTAAAGTAAAACACAGCCGCAGATCTGTAACAGGGTACGGTGCCCTTTGTGAGAGGGACACATGGAGAAGGAGTGTAGGTTCTTTAGGAGCTTGGGGAGTGTCTTGTCGTGCTCCCAAAGGAAATCGAGCCCCCTGTTAGCCTTCCCAATGGGGCTGCTTACCTGGTGGCCCATCTTGGGCTCTGGAAGCTTGACCCCGTGAGTCGCTTGCGACTTGAGCTGGGGAATTTATGAAGAAAACAAGGAATCCTGGAGGGTGCCTGCATCCTTTGTGCTCGGACAAGTGCATGTCGCAAAGGAACCCATCACCCGTGAGGCGTGTCGGGATCCCTGAGGGTGTGGGCCTCGCTTCCTGGGCTGAGGTTGTGTCTTCCTCCTTATCTGGACCAGAGCCAGGGTGTGTGGCTATGGAGATCCAGACCCTTATGTGACCATGTCATTATTATTATTATTATTTTAAGAGAGCAATATAGACATTGACTTCGAGATACAAATATCAAAAGGAAAAACACAAGGTCAAATATATATATAATGACTCAACTCGTGGCATGTCTCATTCATATGGGTCATGTAGGGCTGCCCGTATGAGAAAGACAAAGGAGTTATATTTTGATAGAAGTGTGCTGTGCACACATAGTGTTTTATTCTCTCATTTGCCTTATTTCTCTGAAGGGAAACTAGAGTGGTGACTGGAGCTTGGTTTCCGACTTTAAGGAATGGGAGACAAGTGAATTGAAAGAGCAGTGTTGATGTTGACATGGTGCTCAGTGCCCAGTGAGCGAATGTTTGAAGCTCGGACTCGGAAGCGTTGGTGTTCAGCGAAGATGTTGTCCGAGTTTCTAGCACATGGAGTCACTTGGCTGGTGTGCCTCATCGGGCCAGTTCCTGCCTTTCTAAGGGCAGCTTGGAAGTGGCTTGAAACCCTAGGGCATTTGTGGAGTGGCCTGGATGGGACAGCTGTGTGGGCCAGTGTAGACACCACCCAGGGAATTCCAGAGGTAACGATGAGCACATATGTGAGGCTGGAGTTTGCTTCTCCGTGAGAAGCATTGAGCTGGAGTGGAAAGAAGTCGCTGGGTCTTATGACTCTCTGTGTGAGCAGGTCTGAGCCTGGCAGGGTAGTCGGATCAGATAGGTGGGAGGTTGTGACGCCGTGGTGGTGGACCATCGCTCACGATGGGCAGGCCAGCTTGCTCCAGGGATAGGGACTGGGCTCTCCTCCCTGGCCAGCCCTCCTGCTGCAGATGTGATAAGAGAGTTGCTTCCTGTTTGGTTCTCGAGCCCTCGGCTCAGCAGGGTGGTTGGTGGGAAGCAGCTCACTCGCAGCATTATCGATTCTTGTGCAGTGTGCCCCCTGCTTCCTCAGAGGAGGCACAGCAGATGTCCTGTGCAGCAAAGCTTGGTTTGTGATGACATCACAGGAAAGAGGGACAGGTGCACCACTCTGCTTGACCACAGGAGGATTCCGGACTTCCATCACAGGTGGTTGGTGCAGGGAGGAGAGATGTTTGTTTCCCAGGACCTTGGGCAAAGGGAGATTTGGGTCCTGGGATGGGTCTCTGCTCAGCTTTCTCAGATGAGCACCTCAGGCAAGGAGAGGACGTGTGTGTGCTCACCTGTAATCGAGGAAAGTGTCTGGTTTCAGGTCTCATGGGCAGGTGGAGTCCTCGTATGGCTCATTTTCCTGATGGTGTTCAGGGTGCAGTAGGTGGACCCCCTTGTCCCGGGCATCCTGGCTGTGCAAGAGCTCTGGGGCACCTTTTCCCCGGGGCTTTGGACCAGGAAATTGGAGGTAGTCCATGGTGAAACCATCCGTGTAGGCCTCCGTTTCTGCCCTGCCGAGATGGACTGGTGACTGTGGTAAGTTCTATATGTGGAAATATAGAGCAGGAGACAGGGCTGGCATGCTGAAGGGGAGGTGGGGGTGGTGCTTGCCATTCACGTAGGGGCCAGGTGGGACTTCACTAGGAAGGTGATCCTTGAGTCAAGATCTAAAGAAGGTGAGTGATATCACATCAAGCGCATTCTAAACGGGAGGGAAAGCGTGTGCAAAGGCCCCGGGGCAGGAGCATACCAGGTATGTCCAGGAGCAGCAAGAAGGCCCTGTGGCCACAGGAGACAGCTTAGGACATGGCCTCAGGGAGGGGACAGAGGGAGACAGAAAGTCACTGCAGGGCTGTGACCCCATGGGACCCTGTTTCACTGGGCCTTCCTGGCTACAGTGCTGAGAACAGGTGACAGAGGGTTGAGGATGGGCAAGGGAGGTCCATGATGAAGCTTTTCCAGGAAGTCAGGCAAGAGATGGGCTCCCGTGTGGGCCAGACAGGTGGTCTCGGAAGAAGTGGTTAGTCCTATTCTGAGTACATTTTGAAGATGGAGCTCACAGGATTTGCCAATGGATTAGATATTGGGAGTGGCAGAAAGGAGGAATTGGGGTAACTCCCAGCTGTGGTTTGTTGTCCTGAGGAAGGGGAAGGAGGAGGTTTCTGGGGGTAGGAGGTAGTCCGTGTTCCCCATGCTCAGGAAGGTGCCTCTCACGGTGGATCTGCTGATGCGTGTATCCGGGAGAACATTTAACATCTCCTCCCTCAGCAACTTTCAAGTACAAGTATCCCCCACTTTTTAAAAGTTCATGGTAAGACATTTGGGTTTTTTGAAAGATCTACGTCATTATTCGGCTTCAGTAACAGGAAGAAACCTGAAGAGGATTTCCCTCTTATGAAAGAAGTCGAAAAGTGAGCCTCGCGTTCAGCATCTGTTTTGCGGGGAGCCACTGCAGAGGCAGCCTGCATCCCAACCAGCTCCTTCCTGGGAACCGCTCTCTGCGTCCAGCCCTCAGCACTTTGAATCGTGTCTGTGAGCATCTGCTGTGTTTCATCTCCATTTATTTTGGGCATCCCTTAGGAAGTTGTGCCCTGAGGCCTAGGAAAAGCCAAAGAGAAGTCATTTTTGGAGTGTGAGCACGCTCACTATTTTTTCTGTATAAATGAATGGTAATTCCTCCTTTGGTTTACACCATTTCTGCTGTGAAAGGTTTCCTAGGAACACTGTACTTTCAAATAGCGGGGGGACCTGTACCCCATCCTGCAGGGTTAGCTTTAGTCTCCATGCTGCAGAAAACGTTCCATGACTTAAGCATTTTATCACTCAAACATGTGCCTTTGACCACCTTCCCACGTGCCCCCCCATCCCCGAACCTGGCAACCACCCATCTGTTCTCAGTATCTATGCGTTCAGTATTTTTGTTTCCGTGTGGAATGTCCATGACAGCACCTGGTATTTGTCTTTCTGTGTCTGAGTTACTTAGCATAATGCTCCCAAGGTCTCTGTTTCGATGTCTGGTTACTGTGAATAATGCTGCAGTGAACATGCATCTGTCTTTTCGAGGTAGTGTTTTTGTGTTCTCCAAAGAAATCCACTCAGTAGAGCCATTCCTGGGTCATGTGATAGTTGTATTTATTTTTTCAGGAAACTCCATACTGTTTGTCACAGTGGCTGCACCAGTTTACATTCCCACCAACAGTGCACAGGGTCCCCTTGTCTACACACCCTTGACCACACCTGGTGTCTGTCTCTGGGATGATTGTCGTCCCTACAGTTGTGAGATGATAGCTGATTGCGGTTTTGACATAGGTTTTCTTGACGACGATTAGTGATGTTGAACAACTTTTTCTGTGTCTGTTGGCCATGTGGGTGCCATCTTTGGAAAGTATGTATTCACATATTCTCCCCATTCTTTGTCCAGGTCTTTTTTGTTTGTGTCTTTTGATTTGTAGGAGTGTTTTGTGTATTTTGG